AGTGAAAGATAGGAAAGAAAAACAGCGTTATAGTGTAACACAGTTATATCTGGTATTTTCGTTTTTTCTTTCTTTCTTCTGTTCTGCTATCCTACATAGATGACACGTACGATATACATATATATCTCTAGTTAGATCAATATTCCGCTAACAAACAGTGAATCACACTATTACGTAGGTGAATTTAAAAAAAATTCTGACGTAATATTTTCAAGAAATTTCACTTTTTTTGACTTCAGATATTTGTCGGCCAAATGAGTTGTCGGCGAAGTGTACATGTCGGTCAAACAATTTGTCGGCGAAATGGTGTCGGCCAAGTGATTGTCGGCCAAGTGAACGCGACCCGGTTTTTCTCATGAGTAAAACAATTTTAACAGATTTCGATATGTATTGAAGGAGTAAATTTTGATAATCTCATCCATCAGTAGAAGCTTTTGAAGTTAAATTTAGAATAACTGGAGATAACGTGCTAATTTGTTTACCTGATTAGAACTTTCAACTTTACTTTTAAAGGAACAATATTCCAAAATAACAGAGCCTATAATGAGCAAAAAAATTGAACCATAGTATTCCATTTCTCAACTGCAATGTCCTTCCTCGCGAACTTTTCTCTAGAAAATAAAAAACCACTGTGTTTAGATGAAATGAAACAAGTATGTTGCATATAATTACCTCTAAATTGGTAGCCATTTTATTTAATCCTGCTGCGCGTAACTCTTTGATTAAATCTTCAACTTTCATATCGCGCTTATTTTCTTGAAAAAAGTTGACTCTTGCTTGTTTTAACAGTTTTTCCCATAGTAGACAGGAAGATTCCTTTGTTGGATTTAATTCATAAAACTCATCCATATTAACAAGAGAACCAAAAAAATCGGGAATTTCCGATCGCATACGTAACTTTCTACTGAGAAATGATCTTGCGCAATCAAATTCTTAAAGAGAAAACACCATAATTTATGCCAAAACTGAAAAAATTCCGTTACTCTGATTTTGTTTGAGAGCTTCGCCATTGTTCTTACTGTTATAGAAATTTTCTAACAGTACTAATATATCAAATTTTGACCGTAAATTTGATTGAGTTATAAAATCAAACAGAAATGTGTTTTCGCCATAAGACATGTATGATTTGAATAACTCCAATTTGTCAAGAATACTTGTGATGGCTCATTACTACGTAATAGTCGTTCAAAATGATTGTCCTTGAATAATGTTTTATATTTTGAATCTTTTTTATTTATAAAGTATCTCAATTCTCCAGTTAAATTATTATCTTGTGAAAGGCAGTCTTTTACCTGTTGACGTACTTTCAAGAAACGAACATCTTTATGAGCCATCCTTAAGAATTTGAAATGTTTATCTAAAACTGTTTTATTATGCATTCAATTTAGCTGGAAAAGTGACAGAGATGTATCGTGCTTAATATAAAGTGCCGGCAATTCAGAAATGGAGCAGAAATTTTTTTTTTATTATACATAGTTCGACCGGCATCATCCATTTACATGAAGCCCCGGGGCTCGCACATATATTACGTAGTCATAAGGCAGCTATGTTCCCTATATATACAGCATCGTTGTACAGTATCATTTCAATTTCCTAAACGCGAGTGAGTCATAGCCGACGATTTAACAAAAATACATTGAGTGACGGCTATTCTATAGTCAGTCAAACAATAACTCACGATGTGTGAATGAATATACAATTGTCGGCTATTCGATGATCAACGAAACAAAAGCCGGACGTTTTGATTATCGGCATTTTGATGATCAACGAAATCAAAAACCAAGACAAACACAGCCGTATTTTTTTGGTTATCGCGGTGCTTATCTGAAACTTCATTATACAATATAATTGTGTTGTTTGGTTTTATCGCGTTTAGATACTTAGAGTTCTCGCTACAACTTGGTTATTGTTAGAGTTATTCGCTACTTAAGCTACCACGAGCGCTTTCGACCTTGCTTAAGGGTCTCATCAGGTGGATGTTATGGTGCCATTCGAAATGATACTCTTCGAAACTGGACTAGATCGGAGANGAACGCATGGGGACAAACCCAGTTCATGTGCATCATGTCCTTACATCCCGTTTGAGTCTCGAGTCTAAGTCACAGCTAGCCGAGACTTGATATTACTAGGTCGCCAGATCAACCGGTATGTAAGGACATGATGCACATGAACTGGGTTTGTCCCCATGCGTTCAGAGGTGCACATATGAGTTATCAATTTCCCAGGTGTCTGGTATTCGTATCTCCGCTCGTAGACACTCGCTCTCGCTAATAGCTATGTCGTATTCGATGGGATGAATTTTTTCAGAAATTCTTAAAAGTACTTTTTTCTAGTTAAAAATTGTGTCACTAGGCTGAGAACAGCCTGGAAATGCATTTGACTCATTTCTTGTTGGTTGTGCGTGGGTATTCATTGTAAACGTATAATTAAAAAGCGCAACTACAGAAAATTTTATGAGTGTTTGTGGCGTCTTGCTTCGAGACTAATAGATGAGGTATAAGAGTACGTTTTTTGATATCATACAATGGAAAAAACTGTTAAAGACGCCATACCTCCTCGCATTGAAGATGTAGAGAGAGTTACGAATACTTCGCTCTATAGTTAACATTTGACTGGATCTCGAGATATAAATAATTCAAAACTGAGCAAAAAAGACAATGCGAAGAAATTTAAAATAAATAGATGTTCCCATCGTGTACATACAGAATTTATGAAGAGTAAATCATCAGAAGTTAAGTCTGCTTACCTCGTGAATGTTCAAAAACTGAAAATACACAGTTATAAAGTCAAAATCAATATTATCCGTAGATGTCGTCATCATCGTCACTGTCTAAATCTGTCGATTTTTCAACTATTGTTTTTAATTCTATTGCCGCTGGTAGTAGATTTGCTCTTATTAATGCATAAAATAACGTATGAGAATCTGCTTTCTGATCAAATTGTTGATACCATGCTCGAAGAACTTCCTTTGCTATTGATTGTGATTCTGAGTATAAACCCAGGAGAAAAAAAACGGGCAATTAACTGCTCATTAACTGCCAGTTTACAGTCTCCTTAAAAACTGCCAGTTGACAACGTGTTCACTGTCTAAAAACCACCTAAAAACTGTCTAGTTTATTGGCCATTTTCAGGTCTGCAAAAATACCGTCTAATAACTGCCAGTAAACGGAAAAGCCAAAA